TAATTCGGGACAGAAGGAGTAAGTAACTACACAGCAATGAAAAAGAAAATATATTAAATATATAATGAAAAAATGGTGTGCTCACTGGATCAGTCAGTATCCAATTCTTTTTTCTTTTAGAGAATAAGGAGCTGCTGAAAGATTATCTAATTACCAATGTAGCCATGCATATGAAATTTACTATGCCTGAACTAAAACCTTGTTTGAGTTCCATTGAAAAAGCATTAAAGTAAGGGTTTAAAGGCAAGTGAAGTTACACTCATGTACCACCGTTAAGTACCAAGTAGACAGTGTAGAGAAAGTATTGTAACTAAATAGAATGTAGGGTAATAATCAGGTCCATACCACATTATTCAACCAATCTCTTGTCTCTGATTTAGCCTTTTCCTTTGGATCCTAACAAAAAGAGAGAAAAATCAATTTTCAAAATACTGTAGTCTTAACAGCCTGGAAGATCCAATGTTAACATCCAACAATTAAAATGATGAACCCATTAAAATTCATTACTCAGATTTGTTTCCCAACTAAAAAACACATAATAAAAATTCGGACTGCAGCATCTGAAATTAAGCCCTAAAGCATTGCTAGTGCTCAAAAGAAATGAAAAATGAAAGTTACATTTCCTTATCTTTGCTTTTCCCACAAAAAATGTTCAATATGGGGAAAAACTTATGAACTGAATGAACTCTACTTTAAAAATATTCCATAAAAACAGCAGCATGCAAGTGAAAAACTTCTCCAGTAGCACATTTCCAGCACTCAGATAATCAGATTAGAGAACCACAAGTAATTCATTTTATAAGCATTTCAGAATGTAATCTTCAATACCGTCTTTGGCTGTTGGCCCAATCCTTCTTTTGAAAATGCTTTGGTCTTTGTTTCTTTCTCACATATTTTAAATCGTTCCATTTGACGCTCAATTTGCTTGCGAGCATCCATCAGGGCTTGCTCATAAGAGGCACTAATCTATGTTGAACAGCACCAAAGAAAAGTATAGTCAACACATGTTCTATACTTCATACATGTAAAAAGAATAACACTCACATGTACATTAAAAAAATCTGATTTCCTTCCACTCTGATGGAGCCAAAGATTCACTATTTTTGGCTTTGCACTATGATGGAATAAAGCAAATTGGCTCTTTAAATTGTTTGCGCTTCTTTTAATAGCGAAGTAGCAATTAGTCAATGCAATTTTGATGCTCATTATGGGTCATCTCGAAACAATAGCTCTATGTTTTAAACATGGAGGTCAAACTTCATACATACAACCCCCCACTCCGCCCTGAAATAGGCAGGAGCCTTTGAGGCACTAGGCTAGTGTTGTTGTTGTTGTATATAATTTTGAAAACTATGGTGCTACGAAGCCACAGAGAGATCATACTATGTAAAGCAAAGTCTGGCCTGCATATAAAGCATAATTCTTATTGAAGTCAACATCACAGTCAGAGCAGTCAAAAGTGAGCTCAGTTTAGCACATGCCTTATCAACTTAGAACGTAAGGCATACTACTTATTTTGCCAACTGTGAGTGTGTGATTCGGATGCGCTAAGAAAGTAAGCCAAACTAATATCGTCGCCTAACAACTTAACACGGCTTTGCTCTTTTAGGTTTCTTGAGAGAGAGAATAATCACACCTACTATTGCTTTTCTATCTTATGGAAGTTTCCAGCTTCTTTCTTTAATTCCAATTTCAGAAATCGACTGAAGAAAAAGTTGAAAACATTAGTGTAAATAGCATCTGGATCTCTGAAATCTACCTTCTTGTCCTTGATTTCACTGGACTGCATCCATGTTTTAATTTGGTCTCTGTACCTCTGCAGTTTCTTTATCTCCTTCTTCAAATCTGCCTCAAACTTTTCTTTCTGGTTCGCATTGTCAGTGTCGTAAACCTTAATATTCGAAGAAACAAATAAATCATCAAGAATTAGATGGGGGAAACAGATAATTAATATGCAAAACTCTTTTTTTCGTAAATCAAATATATTTTCATAATTACCTTGTTCCAAATGCTATCGAAGAGGTCGACTCCTTCTTGAACCTTCTTCAACACCCGATCGATCTCACCTTGGAGTTTTCGACTCGCTCCCATTGAAGAAGAACAAAGTAACTGTACAGAGCTTGAAAGTGAAAATTCCGGCGGTGATTCTCAGAATTCTGCTCTCTTTATTACAGTCTTGCTAGAACAATTGCCCAGTCCGCAAATTTTGCAGAAATTGCTGGATTGATGTGGGGGTGGGCAAAATAAAGACCATCCTGTCTAGAATGGCAATTCTATTCGAATCCGACTTTTACCGACCCGACCGGAGGTTATTATATCCGAATCCGACCGGAGGTTATTATATCCGAATCCGAACCGAAAAATTAAATATCTGAAACCGACCCGAAAAAAATTAAACCGAACCCGACTTTTGTCGGGTTGGGTTTGGGTTAGTATATTTGACCGACCCGACCTGTACCCGAACCGACCCGACATGTACCCGAACCGACCCGACTTTCAATAAGTTTTAAATAACTCTAAATTCCTATATTTCATGTACTCCATATTTTTTATGCACATATTTTTAATATTTTAAAACTTATTACATTTTTTATGTTTCATTTTTTATTGTGGTTTAATATTGTGTGTCCCACATGTGCTATTTCTATTTTCATTGTACTCCATATATTATTAATTGAAACTTAATATTGTTTGTTCCACACCCGCGGGAAGACGAAGCGGTTGCAGATTTCTAGTCTCGCCCCCAACGAGATCGGACGACTTCCGTTTGACATCTTTAAGGGTTATTCGGTCATAATTATTTTTGATAATATCTTAAATTTTATATCTTTAAAATTTTTAATTTCTAATGCATTACAATCTTAAATTTTTCATGAATAGTTTAAATAGTATTCAAACCCAAAATTGACCGTAACCGACCCGACCGAATCTTAAACCGAATCCGAACCCAAAAAAAATAAATATCCGAAACCGACCCGCCAAAATCAAACCCGAACCCGACCTAAGTTAGGTCGGGTTTTAATATACTCAAACCCGACCGAACCCGACCCGTTGCCATCCCTAATCCTGTTCGAACCAACACAATATTTTATTTTATTTTTGTTTTTTGAGACTACATTTTAAATTTTAAAGAGTCATTTACTTATATTTGACGAGTTTTTCTCCGTGCCTAGTCAAAATTACTTATAAATAATTTTCATTCATAAGGCTTTGTTCCATAGGCCTGATCTGATTGAGTCTAATCTGAATTTTTGAATTTCTGATCTGAATGGGTCTGATCTGATCTGATTAGATCTGATCTGATCTGATTGGATCTGATCTGATTTGATTGGGTCTGATCTGATCTGATTGGGTCTGATCTGATCTGATTGGGTATGATCTGATCTGATTGGGTCTGATCTGATCTGATTGGATCTAATCTGATTGAATCTGATCTGATCTGATTGGATTTGCTCTGATTTTATCTAATTAGATCTGGTGTAAATGAATTTAAATTTGATTTAAATTAAACTTAAAATTATTACAAAATTTAATAGTTTTAAAGTATTACAACTCAAATATACATAAAAAAAAGTAACATAAGAAAATCAACTAATTATTGATATGCTTAAACTTTTTTTAAAAATATTAAACATTATTTTAATATCACAACTTTTTTAATTTTTGTGAAAACTAAACAATCGATATTAAAATAACCAAATATTAGAAAATATTGATGCTATTCTACAAAAATATCACATTCTATATGCAATTACATAATAACATATTTCATGTTACACATTAAAGATCATATAAAATTTTAAACACTAATATCCCTTTCACCTCTATCAATTTTGTCATAAACTTACCCTTGTGTATATTATATCATCTTAAAGTTTAAAAAAAGTCTTTTTAAGTATATAATATTTATGGTTTTGAAAACTAAGTTTTTGTATAATTATTTTATAAACAAGTATTTTAAAATAACTCTTTTTAAAGTATGAAAAATACAACTTTATAGCTTTAACATTGCTTCCATGCATCATTTCTATCCTACAAGGCAAGCAATTATTAAAAATAGAAGTTTGTAGTTGAAATATAATAATAATAATAATAATAATAATAATAATAAAACAATAATTAAAACTATAATATTAATTAATATTTTAGTGTGTGTAGCTTCAAATAAAGTAATATGTTTTAATCAAATAATAGTAATTATTATTTAATACTTGAAAAATATAAATATTATTTTTATATTTTTTCTTGATTTGATATTATTGGATTTGATTTGGTTTGATCTGATTGGGTCTGGTCTGATCTGATTAGATCTGGTCTGATCTGATTGGATTTGGTCTGATCAGTAGTCTGATCTGATTGGATCTGACCTGTTCTGATTGAGTCTGATCTGATCTGATTGAATCTGATCTGATCTGATTGGCCCTGATGATCTGATTTTAATAAGAATAAATAATAAGTAGAAAAAATAAGTCCTACGGAACGGACCCTAAGTCAGCAAATGACATATTTCTATATGCTTATAAGTAGATTTATAAATTCTTTATCACCGAGAAAAAATAAGTAGGTCATAATTACTTATAAATAATTTCCATTTATAAGTCAGCAAATGACATATTTCTATATGCTTATAAGTAGACTTATAAATTCTTTATCACCGAGAAAAAATAAATAGGTCATATTTACTTATTTTTAAGTTAGTTTTTTTTGTGTTTCCGTTTTGACCAGATTATTTATAAAATTGTCCCTCACCATTTATGAATATTTACAAATGATTTATCTATCATTTAAGTTATTTTACCTGCACAAAAGAATATTTGACATATAAGCAGCTTATAAGTTAAAAATTATTTGTTAACAATAAGTCAATAAGCACATGCACAGAGAAATACTCCTTTAATTATTTATACTCATTATTTTTTAATTTTTCATAGAGTATATAAAAAATCATGCACTTTATACATTTTTAATATCAATAACTCTCGTATGATCTTAATGGATAGACATCTATACCCCTTCAATTATGGAGAAAAAATACCCATGCTTGGATACAAATTATAATTGCGGTGATCGTGAATCTCTAAGTTTGGCAGCTGGTAGCTGGCAAATCTATTGCCAGGTTTGCAATTCCTCTCTCTATGTTGAGAAGTTTGTCTCTGATTCGTCTCTCATAGTGAGTGTTTGTCTCTGTTTCATTACTGCTTCGTTGATTTTAGGAATCATTATCCGTGTCATCATAGGTCTGATGGAGTGGACGTTGTTTTTGTGGCTTCGATTGGTATTATCCCCAAACCTTGGTGTGGTTTCATTCAATTGGAATAACTTCCTGTCTAAGGGAGTTTCTAATGTCTCACCTAAATCCTAAATTTTGTGGAAGGTTTCAATTTTATCTTTGCATCAACTTTGTCTGTTTACTTAGCCAAGAATATTTGCTATTTGGATTTCACTTTACGGTTGATGTGGCAGAGAGGTTAGAAGAGGCAGTGGTTAGCAAGAACCAATACCTCCAATCACCATGAAAATTTTATGTTAGGGTCAGAAGATGGATAGTCCTAAATAGTTCAAGCCCTAAGTAGGTTGTGGTGTAAAAGACACTATCCACAATTAGTTTTTATTTTAGAATCTCATTTGTGCATAGAAAAGTTGGGCAACTTGAAGAAGAGCGAGTTTTATAATGCATTTGGTGTTGATGGTATTGGTCGGTCAGGGGGGATGGTGCTGCTCTAGAAGGATGAAATTGATTTTCAACCACATTCCTTTTATTTGAATCACATCTTTGGTGACATCTAGACCAATGGGGCATCACTACAAGAATTGGACGGGTCTACAATGGATCTGCAGCAAAAGGTATAGTGGAAAAAAATTTGTGGTAGATTTTCTATCTGCGACAAAAAAGTTTATTCGTGGAAAATCTAAGAAGGAATAACTTTTTCGTGGCAAATCTGCGATTGATGGATATTTCGTTAGCAGATTTGCCACGGATTTTGCTACATATTAATTAATTCTTGTAGCTCTTACTATCGGCGACGAATAGTGTTTCCGTGGTAGAAATATCGCAAAGTGTTTCGTGAATTGAATAGTAAACAACAATAATATTCTCTCTATTTGTTTAGATTTTTAAAATATAATCATTTTTGTATTTAGTTCTTGAGGCTAAATATCTATCTCCATTTACAAATATAATCTGATTTTATTTGTATGATTTAAATTTTAAAAATCCAAGTTCATAACTGTATTTTCATTTTAAAAATGAAAAATATAAAGTTGATTTCGTTTTACTTTATTTTAAATTACGTAAATGATTATTTAATGAGTTCATATTTATATTACAAAGAAATTTGAATCTTCCTTTAAAATTCATGATAAGCATTTAATAATTACATAAAACTCAAATTGTCTAGTAATATAATTTGTGTCATATCTCAAATGCTCCATTCATATACAAGTGTTAGCTTCATTTTTTAGAATGTGTTCTTATTTTGATTATATTCTGTGGAAGTACACAATAATAGTTAGTGATGAATATCCTGAACTAGGGGTATCCAACCCAACAAGGCCCATTTAATCACATGATTGAGACGTGCTCGGTCAGAGACACCCTACTCGATTGAAAGGGCTTAATGGAAACCAAGGCCTCAGGATGTCAAGTTGTCAAGTGTACTCGGACATGTATCCTTATTCAGCTCGGATACATCCAATCGGACCCAGGAGCAGACCCAATCAGATTCTTACTCAGATGTCCTCCAACGGCAGAGCCTGTGCACTCGGCCTCCACCGTCAGCAAACCACCGCGGGCTTACCACGAGCGTGGGAGCGTGTATGCCCTGTCTAGTCAATGGGCCCATGATGGGACGCCCGGATACGATTGTCTATACAATTGGTTGTAGCTACCATATTGTCTGTACGTTAGTTGTAGTCACCCTATTTTGCAATCATATTTCTTGTACTGTCAATCAAAAGGCATGACTCGTTGGGCCCCGCCCACTAGGTCGTAGACCAACGACTAGGAAATCCAAACATGGAAAAATGCATTGTATAAATACTCATCCCCTAAAGGAGGAAATACACGTTCTCATTCACTACCAATCTAATATACTTACTCTACTCTAGCGATCAAAAGGCACTAAACCCTTGTTCGATACTCTTATACCTAATCTTTTAGATCTCGAGTTCTAAAATCCATCAGTTATATTAAAAGACTTTTTTGAACATACATTAAAAATATGAATAAATAATACGGAGTAAATCGTAGTGTTAGTTGAATGGTCTATTTGTATTCAATTTCAAAGTTTAAATTGTCATTTTTGTTAAATAAATATACACTCATTGTAAGCCGATTTTTTGAAAAACCAAACGCATAAAATATGAATGTATCCGTATACATAATCCGAAAGCATAAAATGTATAATTAGATTTATTTTATGAGAAATTTACCTAAATAGGATTAAAACATAATGATTTTTCTAATATAGGACCATTTGTTTTTATTTTCCTAATGTAGGACTTTTGGTCATTAACAAGTAGTCATTATTCAAGTAAATCTCTAGCATTACTGGACATTATTCCTCCCACGAAGTCATTATTTAATCCTATTTAGGGAGAATAAAAAAGTTTAAGTCCTACATTAGGAAAGTCATTATGTTTTAATCCTATTTAGTGCAAATTTCACTTATTTTAAAAGTATAATTCCTATTTATTCCTTCTGTTTCTGCTCGGCTCCTGCGGCTTCTTCTCTAAAATTTCCGCTTCTGCTCATCCGCCTTCTTCAGACCGATACCAGAACTCCAGAACGGCTATTTCCTCTCCTCCCGCCGACATCTGCTTCTTCGATTATTCAAGCTGAGGTATGATATAAGGCTTCTTCTCCTCCCGTCTTCTTCAAATGGCCTTCTGCTTCTTCTATTGTTCGATCTGGTTGCCATCTGATTTTTTGAGCGAATTTCCTCAATTTTCAACCTTCCGTTTCGCTTTTTCAGCGGATTTTGTTGATTTTATTTTAAATTAGGGCTTTGTTCATGGTTCATAGCGAATATAAATGATATGGTTGGAGTGGCTGAGAAAATTTGAGCAGCTAAACTACTGTAATGAAACTAAAGAGGTAAATAGAAGACAGAAATAGAGGAGGGGTGGGAAATGCCCTCCAGAACCTCCTAAAACATGATCCATTTTCAATAAAAAAAAAAGGAACCAAACCTGCAAAACCTAAACCCACCAAAAACAAAAACACACGGATGAACTGCCTAAAATCCCAATCGATGTTCAATTTGGCATATTCTTCCAAATGCGAACAGTTTCAGGCATTTTATGCCCCATCTTCATAAGCTTAAACTTTTAATGCTATCAAATGTATGCTCGAACAAAAATGATGTCTTGTTTCAATAATTTTGATCTAAAACTCAATTAGCAGATGTTTTATCATTAAACAACGAATTTTTAGCGCGTTGAAATTCCAAATCTGAAACACCAGTGAGAAGGTATACCGTACATCTGGATGTACGATGTTTCCCGTACATCCGATGAATACTCATTTAAGAGTAACAGAATGTTCATTTTACATGCCATTAATTTAAGTTGTACATTGAATACTCATTTGCGAGTAAAAGAATACTCATTTTCGCATTTTTTTACTCTAGTTGTACATTCATTCAATACTCATTTTCAAGCAATACAATACTCATTTTTTATCAACACAATACTCATTTGCAATATTTGAATAGTTGGATAAAATTTGTACCAAAAAGAAGGCACAACCGGGTGTACCTTATAACCATGGGCGGATCTACTCAATAACTAATGGGGGCACTTGCCCCAAATCAAATTTAGTTTTTATTTAATCAATACATTAAAATTTCTCTATATTGTCCTCAATGAAGAAATAATCTGCCCCCAATGAAAAAAATGTTCAAGTAAAAATATTATTTAAACTTTTTTTGAAACGAACAAATTATTTAAACGTAAAATTAAAAATATAAATAATAATAAAAAAATTAAAGTATAATATTACTAGAAGATAATTTGAAAATAAAAATTTCAAGAGAAAGTAAAATTATAGAGAGTACTTTTGAGATTTTTCATTAATTATTTGAATGTTTTACTCCACCCATTTCATAAAACGGTTCATATTTTGACTTTTTGGAAAAACAAACAATGTATATTTGTGGTAGAATTTTCAATTTTGCCCTTGATGTAATTGATAAAAGTAAGATGTGATAGATAGATGATAGATTATTACTGAAAAAGTATGATGTGATATATGTAGGAAAAGAAAAAGTAGGGGTAAATGTAGTTTTTTGATAGAAAGTTGAAGTATTTTGGAAAAACAAAAAAAGGAAAAAGGCAGTCTTTTAAGGAAACGGATGGAGTATTAAAAAATTATTTTTTATAATTTACTTTAATTTAATAAAAAACGAGGGCGCTATCCTCGAACTATCTTACTACTTTTGCCCCCAGTCACTCCAAATCCTGGATCCGCCACTGCTTATAACTTGCCAACACTACTCTATACATCTTCTAAAAGCCCTTCTTTTTTAAAAGATGTGTATGAAACACCACTACTGCCCTTTCACGTGTCAGATCAGTATAAATTCTGTTATGTTTTTCAACTTTCCTATTTTGAAGGAAGTATGTTTTTGTTTCCAACATACTGATTCCTCTATGAGTATTAGGGTGAACAGATTGGACTTAAAACAGTCCGCTTTAAGTGTGTTATTCGAGGCATTGAGTCGTTCTTCCTCAACACTTGTTATTGCAATGTAATATGCTATCGTATCTCATATGTCTCACTCTAGATAATCTGTATGCTTTTTGGGCACCATTCATGACTCTGTATTTGATTGTGATTGTGATGTAGTGCCTAGAGGATGGGAAACCAGCAGGAAATTTCTAGTGAGGAAGGTAGACACATCCTTGAAGCAATTGCGGCAACTGGAAAGTTTTGGTAGATTTTTTTTCCCATTGCAATAGTTGGTATAAGGACAATGTTGAATAATGATTGATGATCTAAACAGCTTCCATACTTTCGAGTATGGGTAAGGTTTGCGTACACCCCCAGACCCTACTCTACTGAGATTCAACTGGGTTGTTGCTGTTTGATCTAAAGGATTTGATCTATTGATTGATAATGTTCAAAATACTTCCCCCATTACACTATTTTTGTCCTTTTTTTACTTTTTTTGTCCGTCCCACTATTTTTGTCTTATTCCATATTTAGTCATATTTTTTGTGCTTCACAACCATTCTTACTTTATCTTACTTTTTAACATCAATATCAACCACACAAACCTACTTTGCTTAATTTCCGGGCCACTCTCCCATGTCCCAAAAACAGTGGGACCGAGGAAGTAATATATAGTCATACTTTTCAGGGGTGGTCAACACTCAATCATAAAAAATGGGGAGAATAAAATTCATTATTTCTATGTTTCAGGTATTAGAACTTGAGTCAAGGGTGAATTATTGCACTTTTTGTTGTTCTACACTTGCTGCATTGTTAACTTGGATTTTTCAATGCTAGGACGCTTTCCCCTTTGTGACTACGATAAGCTCTAAAACTCTATTCTTTATGTGAATCATTATCTTTAACAATCTTCATCAGGCACGACTGGGATAAGCTGAAGAGTATTCTATCCTTCCAATTGAAGCAGGTAGGTGGAGGTATGCTGAACTGACAGCATATGAAAGTTGAATCAAGCTGGTTGTCTTCTTCATCCTATATTTAATGGACTTGGTTTTATAATTACATTGCTTTAGTTAGTATGTTAACGTGATTATATCTCTTATGATAAAGGTTCTGACAGACTATCCAGAGGCAAACTTGACTAATGAATTGCAAATTTCTTCATTAGGAGAGCCCTTAGCAGAGTTGGTGAAAAGGTTGGATGATGGTATTTCCACAGTCATACCTTTCACTCTCCATTGTTTTTTTTTTAAAAAAAATTAGAGACTGCTAGTATTGCCCCAAAGCTATCAGTTTCCATTGTGTTTCTTTGAGTTAAAGCAACTCAACTAAACGTCGCTGGGGATATCTAATTGCAGCCAACTTTATGGACTCTGTTTTGCAAACATCAGAGTTCAATGTTTTATGTGGGATGTAGACATTGTACAACTTTCTTCCTTTAGAAATGCTTGGAAAACCAGATGGCCAGAGCAGAGTAGTGAAACATAAAAGTATGAAAGATATGATTTATTGACACTCCATGCAATTGAGTTTCATGTCTGCTGCTATCTGGTGTCTTTTTTTGCTCTAGAGTATGCACAACTCTGTATTTGTTTGTCCAAGGGAAACTTTTATATCTGAATGCAACAGAAATATAACTCCCTCCCTCCAATATCTTTCTTCCCTTTTCTTAAATAGAGAGACTATTTACTTTTTTACCACTAAAAGACTAATTTACCCCTTACTTTTGCACCATTCACCTTCTTCACACTCCCCTTCAAGTGTTACACCACCAAGGGTAAAATGGAAAGTTAAACAATTTTTTTCATTTTACATTAAATAACATGCCAAGTCAAAATGGGAAGAAAGATCTAAGACGGAGTGTGTACATTTGTATTGGAAAGGGACATTTTTTCTTGAGAAATGCATATACAAAGATTCTGAGTAGAAATCTTAGTAGTTAGTACTATGGAAGCTATCGAAGTTCGCAATGCATCATCTACATCCAGCACCTTCATTTACCCTTCACACGCTTCAACCATGAAGTTGCTCTATTAAACCTTTCCGGTCCTCTATTAAGCCCTATTAAACTAAATTCATTTGGGACTTCCTTTTGCAGATCTTAATAGCTTTATCGTTGGTCCTCCATTTACTTTACAGCGACTGTGTGAGGTGTGATACAAATAGACCTTCTGCATATCTTTCTTCCTGTTTACAGTTTTTCCTTCACTGATTGCTTTTGGTACTGTGCAGATTTTGTTGGATGCACAAAACATTTACCCGAAGCTCTCAAAGCTTGTCTTGGCATTAGAAAAGGTAAGATCTTAGTTGTTTTCCACATTTATTCAACATTAACCTGCTTTAACCGTTTGATTTAAGTGGTTAAACCTTGTTTGGGATATTGGCCACACTCATGCAGTAGTCATCCATAAACAGTTTTTTAGAGTTACGACACATATACAACTCGGCATAATCCCAACCTTGTTGAGGTCTGGGGTCAAGATGTTCGTAATCTTGCCCCGTAAAAATGGAGAGGCTGTTTTTTTGTTAGACTATAGATGCATTGGTGCATTTACTATGCAGAACTTCATAGAAAATAAGAAACACAGTTTAAGACATTCATTTAAAGTAAGCTGTTTGAAGTTGGTAATTGCATGAACTAAATGAATTACAAATTCTCAATATGATTTTCAAATTCTCATATATTTACTCCTTAGTAATGCCAAACTGTTGGAATTAACCAAATATTCCTATATTCCTATTTTTTTTGTTGGTTTAGGTAAATCTTACACAGTCAACCTGTGGATTAGTTTTCTCCAATTTAAAACATTAAGAATGGCAAAATTTAGCTTATTTTGGTCAATGAGGACTCTTTAAAACATCAAAATTAGATTTGTTTTGAGACAACACATGACTCCTTTTTCGATATGGAGTAAATCTAGTCTAATGATTTATATGTGTACCTTACCAAAATCAAAAGCTTAAAGCTGCACCTTGATCAAACTTGACCCCCTTCCTTTTTCATTATGAAGTACTCTGTACAATGTAAGCCTGTAATTGTTCCCAATTTTTGTTCCAGATATATTACACGTGGTCTAAGATTCCTTTGGGTGCGTTAGTTTTGTTTGATTGGAGAACCTATTTCTTCTGCTTAATAATAATAATACTAATAATAATAGTAATAGTAATCATAATCATAATAATCATGATGCACGTGTTTACAGAACTTATTGGTTTCATCTACATTGACCATCTCTGCCGATCCACCAGCACCCGTGCTCAAAGCAGCTGAAACAGACACAGAATCTCCCCCCGGGTCCCACCACCATCCATCGGAATCGATTGTACCCAATGGGATTGAAACAAGAGCCGACGATCCAGACGAAATAATGGGTGAGGCCGAGGCAACTGAAGTTGTGGATGGCATGACTGTTGACATGGAAACCTCTGAAGACAGCAGCACGGTCCCATCTGAAGCAAAGTCTGCCGAACCAAGCGCGTGATTCATAAATTTGACGAGGTGGTTGGTGTTGTTATGTAGTACTGTGTTCATTTTCCTCACAATTCCTTCAGCTTACCTACTGGGATTTCAAGTCCATGCAACAGATTAATGTGTCATCTCTACTACATAGCCACCCTGTATGGAGGTTTGGGAAATGACCGTTGAGGCAGCCTTTGGCTGGTTGACTAGTCAAAAAAGCCAACATGGTCAAATTAACCAAGTAAAAAAGTTTGGATTGTGGCTCTTCAAGTTGGTTGTTTCTAATTGGTCTTTCCTATATGATCTTTTCTTTTTTTCCCTTTTTGCCCTTCAGTTCGCCATTTCCAAATAAAAAAAAGAGTAAATTCCATAATTGGTCCTTTATAACAGGGGGGTTTCCCTATTTAGTCCTCTATTATCAAATATTATCCTAGTGGTCCTTTTATGGGTATCTTTCCACATATAGTCCTTTTTTTGATCTTCTATCATGTTGGTGTTAATTTGAGGGCTAAAAGTGTAATTTCACAGTGATAATATATCTTTTTTGTCATACACAATTCCAAAGGCTATTCCGTTTGCATCGTTTGTGAATTATAGTCACTTTCTACTACAACCATAGTCTACAAATGCAGTCTTTCGTTGGAATCTTAGCCTACAATCATAGTCATTATTTTTGTGTTATCCGCTTAACCAATATCAGAACACGTCATTAGACATAATGTTGATGTCAAATTATACTTTTAGCCTTTAAATTAATACCAACATGGCAGAAGATCAAAAAAAGGACCATTTGTGGAAAGACATTCTTAAAAAAAGTACTACAGGGATAATATTTGATAACAGAGGACTAAATATGGAAACTCTCCTGTTATAAAGGACCAATTATGGAATTTACTCTAAAAAAACTCTTCATTTATTTTGCCGTGGCCTCTATTCTCTTTCCAGCCCTTCTCCACTCTAGTCTCTAGTCCTTGTTTCAATCTGCCGTACGTTCTCACCAGGTGTCTCCCCCATCCTTTTTTCACCCCTCTTTTTTTCTTTTTCGCATTGTCTTTTTTTTAATACTACGGTAATTTGTTTTCGTAATTTGTACTCCGTAATAGTCATTTATTCCATTCATATTCTGAGATAAAGAGGATATTTTGTCTTATGTACTCTTCGTTATCCATACATTATTTAAAAAGACATGGATTCAATATTATGTTTTCCCGCCCAAAGACTATGACCATTACATATGGTAATGTGAAGTTAAAATGGTAAGTGTCCGAAATTATAAGAATATAAAATTTACGTTTTATAAGTATAATTATTATACTATATTTATAATAATTAATTGTCATAATTATTTAAAATTACCATTTTTAAAGTAAGGAAATAAAAATCTTGAAATTACTATTTTGCTTGTATAATTTTGGACACTTTAAACATGACAGTTAATTATTATAATGGGAGAAATACGAAAATAGCACTTTAATAGCACTTTAATACTCAAAATAGCAGTGCTATTAGTTTTGGAGATGAATTCCCTTTTTTGTCCTTAAATAAACAACTAATATTAAATTCTCCTAATTAGGTTAAGAAAAACCTTTACGTCACACTGCCGAACTTCCCACTCACGTCACGCAGCAGCCGATCTTCCCACTCACGCGTCGCGATAATCGTCGGGCACGCTTCCTCGTCACACTGCCGAATGCAAGCCGAACGCAACAGCTTCTGGAAGGAGACCCAGGGTTTCAATGGCAAGCAAATATGCACTGGATGAGATCCCTCTAAGCAAAAGATTGGAGAAGATACAGGTATGATTCGTTTTGGCATTGAATTTGTTCTAAAAGAAATTTCTCTTACAAAGTTTAGAATAAGTCTTTTTTCGGGTTGGCAGGGGGGTTTTTGTAGTAGGTTCACTGCAATGTGTTTTTTAATTTTCCTCAATGTGTTTTTATTTTCTGCAGTGTGTTTGTTGTTACCCTTAGGTTCTATGCAGTGTGTTTTAATTTTTAAGCTTATGTACTCTTCGTTATCCATACATTATTTAAAAAGACATGGATCTTCTCCAATCTTTTGCTTAGAGGGATCTCATCCAGTGCATATTTGCTTGCCATTGAAACCCTGGGTCTCCTTCCAGAAGCTGTTGCGTTCGGCTTGCATTCGGCAGTATGACGAGGAAGCGTGCCCGACGATTATCGCGACGCGTGAGTGGGAAGATCGGCTGCTGCGTGACGTGAGTGGGAAGTTCGGCAGTGTGACGTAAAGGTTTTTCTTAACCTAATTAGGAGAATTTAATATTAGTTGTTTATTTAAGGACAAAATTTTAACTTCATATTCTGAGATAAAGAGGATATTTTGTCTTATGTACTCTTCGTTATCCATACATTATTTAAAAAGACATGGATTCAATATTATGTTTTCCCGCCCAAAGACTATGACCATTACATATGGTAATGTGAAGTTAAAATGGTAAGTGTCCGAAATTATAAGAATATAAAATTTACGTTTTATAAGTATAATTATTATACTATATTTATAATAATTAATTGTCATAATTATTTAAAATTACCATTTTTAAAGTAAGGAAATAAAAATCTTGAAATTACTATTTTGCTTGTATAATTTTGGACACTTTAAACATGACAGTTAATTATTATAATGGGAGAAATACGAAAATAGCACTTTAATACTCAAAATAGCAGTGCTATTAGTTTTGGAGATGAATTCCCTTTTTTGTCCTTAAATAAACAACTAATATTAAATTCTCCTAATTAGGTTAAGAAAAACCTTTACGTCACACTGCCGAACTTCCCACTCAAGTCACGCAGCAGCCGATCTTCCCACTCACGCGTCGCGATAATCGTCGGGCACGCTTCCTCGTCATACTGCCGAATGCAAGCCGAACGCAACAGCTTCTGGAAGGAGACCCAGGGTTTCAATGGCAAGCAAATATGCACTGGATGAGATCCCTCTAAGCAAAAGATTGGAGAAGATACAGGTATGATTCGTTTTGGCATTGAATTTGTTCTAAAAGAAATTTCTCTTACAAAGTTTAGAATAAGTCTTTTTTCGGGTTGGCAGGGGGGTTTTTGTAGTAGGTTCACTGCAATGTGTTTTTTAATTTTCCTCAGTGTGTTTTTATTTTCTGCAGTGTGTTTGTTGTTACCCTTAGGTTCTATGCAGTGTGTTTTAATTTTTAAGCTTGGCAGTGTTTTTTGATTAACGTATTAAATTTTTTTTGGCTTTATTGAACTCGTTTAGGTTTTTTGTGAATGTTAGACGTAATTCAAAGTTTAGAATAAGTTTTTGCTTCGTTTTGGCATTGAATTAGCTTCTTAAAAAATTTCTCTTAAAAAGTTTAGAATAAGTTTTTTTCCCCGGGGTGGCAGGGGTTTTTTTTGAAGGTTCACTACAATGTGTTTTTTAATTTTCTTTAGTGTGTTTTTTTCTGCAGTGTGTTTTTTGTTTCCCTTAGGTTCTATGCAGTGTGTTTTAATTTTTAAGCTTGACAGTGGTTTTTTTATTAACGTATTGAACTTTTTTTGGCTTTGTTGAACTCGTACGGGCTATTTTTGTGAATGTTAGACGTAATTCAAAGTTTAGAATAAGTTTTTACTTCGTTTTGACATTGAATTTGCTTCTTAAAAAATTTCTCTTACAAAGTTTAGAATAAGTTTTTTTCGGGTTGGCAGGGGGTTTTTGTAGTAGGTTCACTGCGATGTGTTTTTTAATTTTCTTCAGTGTGTTTTTATTTCCTGCGATATCTTTTTTGTTTCCCTTAGGTTCTATGCAGTGTGTTTTAATTTTTAAGCTTGGCAGTGTTTTTTTATTAACGTATTGAATTTTTTTGGCTTTGTTGAACTCATTTAGGTTTTTTGTGAATGTTAGACGTAATTCAATGCTTTTTTTCGGTTTTCGTTTTTTTTGTTTTTCGTTTATAAAATAATTGTTTTATTTTATATATAAACTTCTGGGCAACCTTTGGGCACTGTCGTTTTTATGGGTTTAGTATTTTATGTCGTTTTTATTTTCTGAAGTGTGCTTTTTGTTTCCATTAAGTTCTATGCAGTGTGTTTTATTTTTTGAGCTTGGTAGTGTTGTTTTGATACAGTGTGATTTTGTGAGAGTGACCTTACCTGTGTTGAAAATGTAGGCAGTACACAATGTTTACTGACTTTGAATTTTGTATACAAATGCAGGTGTAATTGTGGTATGTTTGTAGTGAAATTCACAGAGTTTCTAATGATGGATTTAAGCATAGATGAAGTGCAGTCATGTGACATGGAAGCTTACCGGATTAAAATGACAACAGAACTTTTAGCTTATAGCTATGAGAGGAAGGAAGAATCCAGAAAGCAATAGACTTTTTTTTGATACCTTGGATATTTTAATGTTCGTATGAAAGCTGTTTGGAGTTTGTTTGTTTAAGTTTTTTTGTGGTATTCATGATATTTTGTTTTGTTTTAGTAATAATTTATGGGCGTTCAATTAATAAGTGATTTGAGAAGTGAATTGGTGGAGATTTTTTTTAAAGTCACACTGCCAGATAGTATATAAGGCCATGACCATTAGACACTGCCAAAATTGTTTAGGCAGTCACTGCACACTTTGTTTGACAAAGTTCAATATACACTGCAATGTGTGCACAGTCTTCACTGCCACATTATAAATAAGTATAAAATTCAAAGCTCTTCACTGCCACAATATGTTTGAGATATACAAGTTTTCTAAAAAAAAGAGCAGAATTCCTTTTAATTCGTGGGATTTATTTTTTACGGTAATTATACACTGCAATATGTAATCTCTACAATGCCAAAATATGTACTTCCAAAAATTCAATGTGTAAAAACACTGCCACAATATATATACTGCCACAAAATATACAGAATGCCAATAACTCACTGTCTGAAATACACTTTCAGAATATATACACTGCCACAATATATCTACACAGCCACAATATATACACTGCCAAAAAATTCACTGTCCTAGTGCACTTCCACATTACACAAGGAATTTAGAAAAAATTAAAAGAATGCAACTTATACCCTTTTCACTTTTTGTAATTCAATGGTGCAAGTAGACAAAGTGTTATATATTATTTAATAAAATCAAGTTATAGTATAAGGAGTACAACTATTAAAAGAATGGAAAAAACAAAGAATGTGTCTGAACAACGTCAAAAATGGATGAAGGAAACAATTCAGAATTGTATATTATACGGAATATGAAAGAATGTAGTGTCAGTTTGGTATTGGGTTTTTGCATGTTTTTATGTTATGCCCCAAATTCAAACACCGTGTGCATCTTTGCTTTCTACGCCTATGGCCTATTTGAAATTCACCAACTGATGGAAGTCTCCTCTTCTTTGGCTTACCCGGGGGACGCTTATTACAAGATGGAGGCTTGCAAAGCACTGATGCAACATCCGGCGGAACACCCCAGGAAGATTTATCTCCAATTGGGCGCAC